CCTTCCCCCCATCGGCCACTGATGCTCGGAAGTCAAAACTAAAGGATGCTAACTGTAGCCTGGTGCAGAAGGGAGTAGCAAGGTTGTCCCCTTTTACGCTGCTCTGACACAGGCGACAGAAAAGAGAAAAGCATATTGGCACCGTGTACTGGTATTTCTAATTTTTGATTGGTAATTATGAAAATGAATGTGATTATGTATCTTAGTTACAAACTATTGGTGCTTTTCCATCCTGCCTTAGGGAGAATTATTATCTACCAACCATCCACACCTGGCTTTTTATAGCCTGGGTGGGTGCCACCTTTTTATCTGGTAGATACGGAATGTAAATGAGCTATTTGTTTGTTTCATCTTCCAAAAAGACTATGCCTCTAAGCCAGTTTTTATGTCTCTGTGACAATTCCTTTTAACAGATGGGGTGCATAACAGGACTTCAGGGACAAGGACTGGCGAATGGCAGACCCGGATAATGGAACATCCACCCTGTGGGATATTGTGCGATCATTAAATAATAATCACAAGGTGTCTAGAAACACGGAAAATGTGGACAGTGTAAAGAGAAAATCAGATCACAAAACTGTACCAACAGTACGATTGTAATCAGGTAAAAATACATATGCAAGGACATAAGAACTAGGAAAAAAACATTAAAAATGGAAACAGTGGATGGGTTAAGTTTTTGTGGTATCGCTTCTTAAAATATTTACTTACTCTTGTTGAAATGTTGTTTGTTCCACAAAGAAATTAGGAGAAGTTAAAACAAAACAAACATGTTGCTACTGTGAAATAAATGAAAGAAAATCATCGTCATTAGCGGTTAATCGTTTAATAGCTTAACCGCTGACTAATTAAAGAGCAGACAACCAACAGGAAATAATAACAGTAGCTGATCCGGCAAGGTCTCTACAACAAACCCACTTAGAAACATTGCAGCAAATTGTGTGCACGTCCTGTACCTGTTTTTAACTAAGGAGGATAATCCCGAATCTTCTGGCATCAGGGTTTGCCTATTTTTCTCCCAAGAGAAAAATAACTATTTGTGAACTTAAAGATGAATTGGACAAAGCCAGGTTATTTGTAAGGGGACAGTAACTGCGGCTATTGTTTGAGTCCTATTATTTCAATAGAATAGAGACTCCATCTTCATCTTGCCATTCCTACCGTCCCTCTCTCTTGAAATGCCGAAAAGGGCCGTTCTCAACTATTTCACCCTTGTATCTGTCTTTTTTTCCCCAAATTTGTACTGAGTTCTGCTGCAGTCCAACATTGAGAAGAGTGAGTTTTATTTTCTTCATCTTGGAGGACCCTCCAATTCTACTCCAGGCTCATGGGTTGTTAGGTTGGTTTTAAGGTTGGTTTCTGCAATTGGATCAGAAGTTCCCTGAGGACAAGGAACCTCCACAACTTCTAGCACTGTGCTAAATAGAGAGTTTGCTCTTAATGACCTTTTAGTAGACAGGAAGCATGAGGGGGGGGGCAGGGGCCAGCCGTGCTGGGGAAGAGGGGGCTGCGCTATCGTGCAAACTTGGCCGCTAAGGAGCTACGTGACCTGAGAGTTTCTGAACTTTGTTATTTTCAAACTGTGATGGTCCAGCGTTCTGTGTGCCACTGGAACATCTGCACGATGATCTTGGAAATAAGACCCAGTGAAAGTTTTCCAAGACTGTCCACAAGCATAAGCAATGATTTATAAATAAGCCTTAAAAATAAGGCTGAAAAGAATCGACTGACCCCCAAGAAGCAGACATGTTTGAATAAGGGCCAAGGTGTCCCCCCACACACATGTCCTTTGATGCCATGTTTCTCATTTTACCCCAGGAGGAGCTGATTTTCCAGCTACTGAACACATGACAGCTCAAAGCTAGCAAAGACCTAGGGCATCTAGCCCAAATCTGATTTTTCCAAAGAGACACCTCTGGGAGCTTTCCCAGGACGGCATGCCATTGGTGACCAGTCTCAGGGAAGGACCCAGGCATCCGGTGGCAGTGTGTGATCTCAGTGACAAGGGATGCAGAGTCCAAGAATGAGCAGGAGCTCTTCCTCCTGGGCCAGAGGTGCTCCCCTGTCTGTCCCAGCTATTTCTAGGAATGGCTCCCCCAAGTATCTGAATGATGCACCAAAAGATCCCACAATTTTAGGATCAGCCTCATTGGCATTTCTGAGCCATTATCAGCTTTATCTTTGTCTCCTACTCGAGACTGCCCATTGCTGGGCCCACAGCCATGGCCGAACTAGCCAAGGCAGAGATGAAAGTGGTGAAAGCAGGCTGTGTACTTCTTTTCTTTTCCTCTCCCTTGAATTCACACCCTGACCCCCACAGTTCCGATCTACAGCTACGGCACAGTTCGGGCGCCCGACCTGCCCTCCCTTTTGAGTGTCTGCGAGGCCACCGTTCTGTTCCGGGCCCTTTCTCCCCGTCCTGGGCCTGCACCTTTTTTATCTACTTATATGGCCTTGTTTTTCTCTTGGACCCCTGACAACTTTTTATAATTGCTACAGTTTCTTGCAGCCTTGGTGTTCTGTTTTGTTTTTGCTTTCATCAAAGGGCCTGGGAGGAAATGGGTTCCTCCTGGCTTTGGCTGAGTGATTTCTCAGAAGCCTCACTCCCAGGAGTCGAGTTATACCCGCTTGTCATCTATTTTACCCACTTTTCATCCACTTTACCAAGCATTGCGTTTTGGCCAGAGAGAAGATCTGTGAAAGAAGAAATAGAGGATGCGGTTTTTAAATTTATCATTGATGACTCGCTGAGTTAATCAACTGTTCACAAAGTGTCGCACTTAGTATATTTTATTTTAATTATCTGCTAGCAGATCTGAGACCCAATTAGACTCTGATTTCCTCACAGGCAAGGAGTATATCTTGCTTATTTTGATATCCGCAGTGTGTGGTATTAATACATATTCCTCTTCAGAGAGGTCTTGCAGCCAGTGAGTAGCTATGCAGGCTGGTGTTATAGAAATTCCAAATGAATTGTACAACATGAAGAGCATACCATTCTAACTAAGTGTTCCTTATTTATTCAACAAACATTTCTCAAATTCAGGTTACACGCTGGATGCTGACAGGGTGCACAGTGATGAAAGAACAGAGAGCCTGCCCTCCCCTGGCTCTCAGTTTAGTGGGAAAGGCAGACGTGTAAACAAAGACCTGAGCGGCCTATTAGTGGCGTGAGTAGCACTTCCCAACCTGATGAGATCTGGGAGACACAGCACGATATTGACTCCTCCTTTGCCAAAAACATTCTAGGACACAATCGTCCCTCTTCATTATCTATTCATTTTTCTGGGAGTTATAATTACAAAAACTGGGGGAAGACAACTTCATTTTAGACTCTCAGTATAACAGTATATCAGATAGTTAATCTTCTCTTAGACTATTGGATTCCTGAGAGTCTTAAATTCTGCGTGGAGGGAGAGGCAAGTTCTAATCCACCCATTTCCACACCCCTCACCTCTATTTTTCTATCCCAAACCCTTGTTCCTTCAAGGATCTCACCCCAAAAACCCTGCTCTCAGAAACTGCTGCCGCCTTTCTCCAAACATACGCACTAAAAATATTTCTCTCCCCTGAAAAATGTTAAGGTTTATAATGTGTAGTAATGCATTTTTAATATATCCCTGAAGTCATCACAGGACGCAATTAGCATGAATTTTGACTTATTTCCTTAAAGTGAAACCCCTCAAGAAAATAATCGAGGCCAGCGCTCCACGCTTTGGCATTAGCAGCAGGTGGCTGTCTTTGCTGTATTACATCTGCATTTGTGTGTAGTACAAAGCCAGGCGAATAGCCCTGAAGAAATATCTATTAGTTGAGCAATGGTTTGTCCCTACAGAGAGACTCATTAAATACCGAAAAAATCTTAGTCCAAACTTAGCAATCATTTATATATTTTTTTGGAAAGATGCCTTGAGCAACAAGTTGTATCCTCGTTTTCTGGGCTTTAACCTGGGAACATAGAAGACTTGGGACAGCACAGAGGATTTGCTAACGCTTCGGAGTAAGACAGAGCTTCGGTTCAACGTGCCTCAATCCCAGATTCTAATCTCCTCACCTGGTGCTATCTTTGACTCCAAGGCACGAAGACAGAAGCCAGAAAAATTTGACGTTAATCCACACGGTGTGTTTTCTCCCTGAAGCGTCGCCAGATGTTCCTCAGACAGATGTTGGGGGG